AGGGAGGGAGGGAGGGAGGGAGCGAGCGAGCGAGCGAGCGAGCGAGCGAGCGAGCGAGGGAGCAGCCTGCGATCCAGAAAGAATTCTTGGCGAACTCTTTCTGGAGCGGTGGCTGCCATGAGCCAACTGGCGTTGTAGAGTGTAGAGCTGGCAACATGCGGCGCAGGTGTTTCTGCAGGCGTGTAGTCTGTCAGGGTCATTTCTCCAAATCATCCAACCGACCAGACTCTCATCCAGCGCTGCTCAGCCGAAACCATATCGCACATGCGAAACGACTCGAACGGGTGATGGTGGACAGCCCGAGCCCTTCAATGAGAGGCGTATTATAGTGGAATATTTCATGAGACAACGAGCACCACCCACACCGCGATGCGGGTGGTTCTGCAAGTCGACGTGTCTTTTCTGAAGACTCCAAAGAGAGGTAATCCACAGAGAGGCAGTGTGTGAAAGAGGAAGCAACATCCCACATGCGCAAATTGTGGCAGGTACCCAACCCGCGCAAATATCCGACTCGTGGGTGAGGGCAGGTAGTGATGCGTGCATGTCTACATGTACGTCTGTGCTTCTGCCACATTCAAGGTCTCACAAACGGTGCACATCGTGCAGGACAGGAGTGTCTCAGCATGCACAAACAAGTTGCTAACTCGCGGAATCCATCAGTGTAAAGTTGATCACCAGGAAGCCTAAAGTTCATGATCATAGACTTCCATAACCTTCAAAGAGTTCCTCTCATTGAACACAAATGCCAAACTCAGAAAAACCAACTCTGGAGAAGCTGCACACCCGAGACACCGCACCTGCCCCCGCCCCTTCCCACAAGGACTTTTTTTCGAAGAACTGCGCGAGCATCCCTAAAGATGGAGACCTGCGGGACACTCTCAAAGTCGGCGTAGCATTGGGTTTTATAACGGCTTGCAGAGAACACAGGGCACCTTATTTCAGGGCTCGTATAGTAAGGATCTCCTACCATGTCGGCTTTCGCTCGGGATCTTTTTATCTTCAGAAGGTTTCCGGAGTTTGCAACAGGAGCTACAGTAGGGCAGTGTAGGGGTGGGACAACTGAAACCTGCTGTTGTATTTAGTAGCTGCTGTGGTTCTGCCTGCTTTTGCAAGGGTCCACGCCTGTCCCTTGATCCCTTATAAATCCTAGAAACCCTAACCTAAACCCTAACCGGTGCTTCAAACGCAATGCCCACGCTTCTCCTTCTGTCGTGTTTCTTTCCCGCTCACCGAACCTCAGCCCGGAAACCAACCTGCAGCCCGTCGGCCTCTTCACGTGCCGCGGGCCACCATGGCCTCAAGGGCTTGGTGTTTCAAATGGCAGTAGCCCCCCTTTCTCCGCAAGAAGACTCACTCAGACTAAAGCATGACAGAAAACAGAGCAAACACTCAGATCCCACACTCACACCTTCACGTACACGACCGGCCATCACCACCAGCATCCGACGGAGCTGAATCTTCATCACTTGCCGAGGACTCCATCATAGAGACCACAGCGGAACCAGACGACACACCCCCATTCAAGGGTTTATGGGGCTCAAGGACCGCAGCCACTCCATGACATGGAAACTACCGTCCTGCGCGAGGTTTTCGCCTTGTGGCAGATGTTCCGCTCTGCATTGCCGACGATTCCGTCTTCTTTCCGCTCTTTTGGTTTTTTTTGCGCCGAATCTGACCTCCAGCTGCGAATCGCTTGCCTGCACTGCGGTAGAATAGTCCTCCCGCTCCCAGCCGCCTGCTGCATCGTCAGCTGGCACATTGCTTTCCGCAGCTGTAGTCGAGTGCACTGCAGTTGTTCGGTCTCTCTCTCTCTCTCTGTACATATATATATATATATATACATACATACATACATACATACAGATGTACGTATATACACACACGCATGCATACATACGTACTTTTATAACTCACACAAGTAAATAAACCCATAAATCAACAAGTATAGATTTTTTGTATTTATCTGCTTGTTTAGTTATGCGCTTTTGTTTGTCTATATATATATATATATATATATATGTGCGTGTGTGTGTGTGTGTTTAAAGTCTTTCCGTTTTTCCTTGGAGGGGGCTGGGAGGCTGGAGGCCGTGCCTCGGCCGTGAAGCGCATCCCGAGGCCCTCTGAAAGGCGCTTCTTGCGCTCCTTCGTCCGCAGAGGAAGTCTCGCTTCTTGTGGGGTTTAGGGTTTAGGGT